ATGGGGTAAGGGGACAACATAGGAAATGTAAATAAATCATCCAATAAAAAAAAAAAAAGAAAAAAAAAAGAAATCAATACTCTTTAATTCCTTTCAGTTCTGTAACTCAAACCCAGGGCCTTGCATGTGTTAGAAAAGTGAAATTATTATTATTTAATGTACAAAATAATTTACAACTAGTAATGAACTAAATTTTAAAAGAAAATGAGAGAATAAATCTAGGGTTTAAAGTATTTTTTTGTAAATTATAAATGAATCACTTGCAAATTCAAAACTTAAAACAATGTTCCCATGAGAAGATATTTATATGTGAAAAGAAATAGAAGCAGAAGCTTGCTTGTAATCACAGTACCTCAGAGGCTAAGGAAGATTATGTTTTATGTAGAGAAATGCAATGCTGATATAAGTGCCAGAAAATATAATAAAAGTATATTAATATGCATGGATGTCCCAGTCAGTGGAGTGCTTGCTAAACAAGCATGAAGACCTGAATTCAGATCCCCATCACCCACAGAAAAGCCCACAGTAGCATGTATCTGAAACCCTAGTACAGAAGGGGAAGAAGGATGACGGGTAGATTCCTGAGGTCACTGGTCAGCCAATCCAGCCAATTGGTAAGCTCCAAGTTATGTTAGAGACCCTGTTTCAAAAAATGAGATGAAGAATGATGGAGAAAAACACCCAGCATCAACTTCATCCCCTTACACATTCATACACACCATGCATTTAGACACATATACACATATGTACACAGCTACATGTATTCATTCTGTGATGCCAATGCTGATTGTCAAGTTAACAAAATCTAGAATTACCTGGAGGAGGGTCTCTCTCTAGGGATACCTCTAAGAGGTTGTCTTGGTCACACTAATTGAGATCAGAAGACCCACTAGTTTAATGGCATCCTGCCCTGCTCAGGTCCTGGGCTGTGTAAGTGGAGAAAGGAAGCTGAACAGAATGCCTGAATCCACTACTCTCTGTTCCTGATTACAGATGTGATGGCGACAGCTATGCCAAGCTCCTGCAGCTCTGATTTACCCGCCATGGTGAACTGTGCTTTGAATTATAAGCTAAAATAAATCCTTTCTCCATTAAGTTGATTTCTTAAGATACTACATCCTAGCAACAGTTAAAGAAGCTCTCTCTCATACACATACACACCATTCAAATAGAAATTATATATATAGAAAATTTCTATACAGCATAATACTATAAACAAAGTTAACAAAATAAAAAAAAAATGTGGTAGCATAGGCCTTTAATCCCATGAGGCAGATTTCTGTAGTTCAAGGCCAGCACAGTCTACATAGGGAGCACTAGCTAGGCCAGTCAGAAATACATGGTGAGATTTTCTTTCAAAAGCACAACAAACAGAATACAGTACTATACAAAGAGCTTATATGAATCAAAAAGTAAGTATGCCAATAGAAAAATAAATATATGAGTTAGCAAGTTGCAAAATGAGAAATAAATACTGCTAATGAATAAATGAACAAATGTCCTTCTCTGTCTGCCCAATTAGAAAATACCTTTAGAAATTGATAAAACTGTTTTTGGTGAAGGATGGGACTACTGACATTCACACTTACCATTTATATAGTATATGTTTATCTACTTTTCAAGACAGAATTTGTAAATAATGGTTGCCCAATAAAAATTCCTTAAATATGGTGCTTTTGGAAATGGTTAAAAGAGGAAATAAAAAATATTTGAATAAATGAATGTCTCAAATGTACCAAAATTAAAATATCCATCATTTAAACCACAAATCAAATTTCACTTCAAGATTTTTGTTATAAGACTGTAATTAAGCTGGGTATGGTGGCACACATCTTTAATCCCAGCACTAAGGAGTCAAAGGCAGGAGAATCTCTAAGTTCAAGACCAGCCTGGTCCACAGAGTGAGTTCCAGCACAGCCAAAGTTACTTAGTGAAACACTGCCTCAGAAAACAAAACAACAACACAAGGACTGTAATTAAACAAGTGTGTGTTGGTGCAAAGATGTTATATTGACATGGAGCAATTTAAGTGTCTGCCAATACATGAATAGATTTTTAAAATGGGGCATCTGGAAATACAAAGAAATAACATTCAACTTTTAAGAAGAAAGAAATTCTATCCCATGAAAAAAATGCGAATTAAATGAGATATTATGCTAAGTAAAGAAACCAGTCACAAATACTGTATGGTCCCACTTACATGGAATATATGAGATGAGCAAAGTCACAGACAAGAAGAGAGGGGTTGTTAGCAAGGGGCTAGAGAGCAGAGGAAAACAGGGAGTTACTATTGTATGCTTCGACACTGCAGTCAAATGAATAGACCCAGGGATTGCTGTATATTGTACCTCTAGTCAGTCCTAATGCATTATCATCCATTTAATGAATTTACATCTTTGAGATGATAGATGTTTGCCATATCCTTTTTCCCTTAGTGTAATTTATTTTTATTTTACATGTAAAAATGTTTGCCTGTATAGATGTATATGCACCACAACCATACCAGGTGCCCTCTGAGGACAGAAGAGGGCATAGATCCCCTGTAATCAGACCTACAGAGAGTTGTAAGCTGCAACATAGAGGCTGAGAATCAAACAAGGGTCCTCTGCAAAAGAAGCAAGCACTCTTGTCTGCCAACATCTCTGTGTCTCCATTCTTAAGATAATTTATGTTAAGGATGACATTAGGCCAGGCATGATAGTGCATGCTTGCAATCTCATCTTCTGGGAGATGAGGGTAAGAGGATGATCAGGAATTCAACATCATCTTTGTCCACCTACCAATTTTTAGTCCAACTGGGACTGTATAAAAATCTGTCTAAAAGAAAATATATATAGCGTTTGCTGGGCTTGGTAGCGCATATCCATAATCCCGTGTAATCCCAACACTTTGGAGGCTAAGGCAGAACAACTTTGCATTCAAGGCTGGTGTGGGAATCAGTGAGACCCTGTCCCAAAACTGGAAACAAACAGAAAAGCTATTTACAGAACTGTCTTTAACAGTGGTTCTCAGCCTTCCTAACGCTGCAACCCTTTAATACAGTTCCTCAGGTTGTGGTGACTCCCCACCCCATAAAGTTGTTTTTGTTTTGTTTGTTTGTTTGTTTTTGCTGCTTCATAACTTTAGTTTTCCTACTGTTATGAATCATAATGTAAATATCAGATATGCAGGATATCTGATATGTGACTATCCCAAAGGTGTCGAGACCCAGTGGTTAAGAACCACTGGCCTATACTAACAAAATTTTGAACATAAATGTTCATAATTACAAGATTACTGAAAACACAACAGACAGAAGGATGGTCCATCTAAAAGTATGTATACTCATACAAAAGAATTTTTGCGTTTCTCTATTACCTACATTTCTTTAAATAAGCATGCTTTCTTTTTCCTTCCGATTGATTGATTGATTGATTGATTATGGCAGTGAGAATCCCTCATAAGGTCTTTTGCATGCTGAGTTATGCTCCCACTCCCTCTAATACAGCATTCTCTGGAACTTAAATATGTGAATATAAGCACCAAGCACTTCAATCTACAAGCACAGTGCCTTAGGAACAGATGTTTCTGAAGATTAATTGTGCTGTAGAGTTCAGAATCTCAAGATGTGTCAAAAAATAAAGATGGGTTACGAAAGGTTCCGGGAAATGTGTGGCCTGTGGTACGTGATGGCTTTGAAAAGAGATGAGTGTCGTTTGTAGGTATGTACTCATACATATATCCTACACATGCACACACATACATTAGGGCCGGTGTGCTTTCTCATAGTGTGTACTTTTAGGAAATCAACCAAGCTGTGCTTTATCTCTTCTTCCAAGGTGAACCACATTTCCCTGCAGTGTTTCCCTCAGGGGACCACGCTCAACCCATCTGTGGAGGGTTTCAGTATCTGACCTGCTACGGCTTGTCCGCTTGCCTTAGCGATGAGTTATTTTTGGCAAAGGTGCAAAACAGGAAAATACAGCTGGCATGGGCCCAGGAAGCCGTAGACTAGGGCATGAGGAGCTTCAGCACCACGGACACAGTCAACTATGCTCAAAGTCTTTCCCCGAGAATAGACCACAGACTTGGCCCTCTCCGGGCCTGCTCCCTCGCCCTCCCAGCTGGTATGAGACTGTCTAGGAGCTCGTCAATCCTCACTGGGACAGGAAGTTGCTCCAGCTTCTACCAGAGCCTGGTGATGACAGCCTGGGCAGTGACGTGGATCTGCGCAGCGCCCCCAGCTGCCCCAGTAAGAGTGAGTGTTCCTCCTGCCAGTTCTCGCGACCCTTCTTTCCCCTCTAATGAATTAAATGGGCGCACGCTGCATAAAATTCTAAATCTAGAACCAATTCCGTCAAGAAAATCCGCATTTTGTTCTACGTGGATAGATGAGAAGGAACTGACTTGCCCAAGCCTTCACCACCACACTCGACTACCACCGGGGTCCTTCCTCCCTATTGAGCCAAGAGACACGAAAATCTCAACCCATCTAAAGTGGAGTTCAAGACTCATAGACACAGAACAGCAAAGTGATGGCAAATCCAAAATCTTTGTCAGACTCCTAAAACCACACAGCAATTTTCGAAAGTTGCATTCACAATCACTCCTATGACGCCACAAGCACTCGCCGAGCTTCTGTGGGCTCCGGGGCCAGAGGAGGGACAACAGCCCTGACCTTCATCATGCAGACGGGTTGGGCCGACACAAGCAAAGGTGTCAGCACCCGGGATGAGGCCCCGGGATGGTGCTGACTTTATCAACCCTTTATTCCTTTTCTCCAAGACAGCAGAGGGGAGAAGTGGGCACTGGGTGGCTTTTCGGGCGTCCTGCAGGGACGCGCGCCCAAGGAGGTCTGTCAAGTAGGCGGGGCGCTTGACGCCAGCCTACCTTACCCCAAGCGAGGTGCCCTACGGGTCTGCTGCCGCCGACGTGGAGCTCGGTACTTCCTCTTCCCGGCGGGACCAGACGGCAGAGTCCCGCACCTCCCGCTGCTGCCCACCCGCCACCGGGCCGGTTACCTGCGAGTGGCGGCTAGGCGGGTGCGCCCGGAGCTCTAGCGGACTGAGCCGGAGCGGCGCTCCTGGTCTGGCTTCCCTAGCCAGCTGAGGCCGCCACGCGCTCGGCGGGGACCACTGCAGCCTGGACTGCCAGGGGCGATCAGCAAGGAGAGGGGCGCCAGGCGCGGCCACTGCGCCTGCGCTCTCCGCTGCCCCAACCCCCACCGCGGGCGCTGCGGGAGTGGAAGAGCGCTGGAGACCACCAGGACGCCTGCCTAGACCCGGGGACTGGCCCTCCCCGAGAGGCGTGAGCGTCCCAGGCGGTGGAAGCTACCAACGCCCTGGGGCGGGAAGCGAAGGGAGACGGGGGAGGGGACGCAGGGTGGGGGGAGGGTGCTCTTAGACTACCAGCCAGGGCGACTAGGTCCTCTGGAAAGGGACGAGGAGGTAGTCTCCATTCGTTTCTACCTGGTTGTAAGAACTAAAATTGATATTCCTTGATGTTTGAAGTGATGTCCAGTATCGATAAACCTCGGGACAGAAGAATACTGGGGTATCCCTGAGTCCTGACCTTTTTACCCAGGTTTTGCAAGGTGGGAGAAGTCTTGACAGTGCAAATGTTCGTATATGCCAATCCCCAAAGCTAAGTGAACACTCTTTTAAAAACAGACCAAGTCACCAAGGCAATAAGAGTCCAGGAGACAGGCCGGAAGACCACGACCTTAGGGCAAGTAAAGGATCAGGCCTGAATAACGGTGCTAAGGATGGAAAAAGACAAAGGTCTTCTGCCAGATTTCCCGTATTCTGTTTAGCTCTTTCTATCCTGCTCTGACCTTGATAGATGAATTCAACTGTCTTCTAGCTCTTGGAAAGTGTGGGCAAGCGAGAGAGACATAGGAAACAGAGTTAGTCTGTTATTGACTGTTCTTCATTTCAAAGTCAGAACGTAAATCCTCTGATAGAGTTTTGTGTTTGCACACTTGACCACAAGCTGTCCTCCTCCTTCAATCCTGGATGACTCCCAGAGGGTTCTTTTATGTATCACACAAACACACACCTTAATGGATAAAGTCAACTGTCTTCTATCTTATGGATGTAGTGAGTATATGAGAGACACACAGGAAACACATATACATGCACATAAAAATGCACACACATATACACACATATGCACACACAAATACAAATACAAACACATACATACACACATTCACATACAAATACATACACACATACACACACATTCGCACTCACATACGTACATACATACATACATGCATACGGACACACACACATGCACACACACACCATACCTGCTTTTGTTGTGCAAACCTTGTTCCTTAACTTAAAACTGTTGGTTGAATAAAGATGCCTACAGCCTGTAGCTGGGCAGAAGAGAGGTAGGTGGGGCTTCGATTCCTTGGCTTGGGGTCTGAGGCAGAGACCAAAAGGAGAAAGAGGAGGAAGCCCCCATGGGGTGGGTGGATCATGAGGGCCAGCCAGTTGGAGTAGGAGCAGCCCAGGCAGGACATGGCAAATGTTGGGATTATTGACAAAGAAGTAGACAAAAGGGCATACAGGGTTGATATCTACCCTGCTCTAATGCATTAAGGTTTATTATAAGTATAAAGGTTTTCTGTCTTTTATTTGGGAACTAAATAATCAAAAGTGGGGTAGAACCCCCCAAATATTACTCCAACATACACACAAACACACACACACCTTTTAGAAATAGTCTCTTTATTCAGAACATTATAATGGATTTTAGTTCACTGTGGTTTGCAATATATTAAAAACTTGGGAGCCCAGTTGGTGGTAATAATTTTAGCACCTGAAAATTGAAAGCAGGAGGATATTGAGTTTAAGGCCAGCATCAGCTATGAAAGATTCTTGTCTCAAAAAATGAAGGGCTTAGAATTTAGCTCAATTACAGAATCCTTGTCTGGCATGTGAAAAGCCTTGGGTTTAGTCCCAGCACAAGTAAGTTACTTAGTTTGTTCTAGAAGATGAGATGTCTCCTATAGCCATCTTGATGGTCCCTGGGGCTTCAGTGTCCATTGTGCCAGGTGACCTACCATGACCCTCTAGCCTATGGATGCCAACAGTAATTTGAATAGTCACAAGAATAGAATTCTGACCATTTGTTACCAATGTGTTCGCAAAAGACTGAGAACCACCTAAGTGTCCAGCCTAGAAGAACTTCAGTGTGTTACTTGGAGAGGGGAGATTTCTGGATCCTCATGCTTTCCCAGCTGCAGCAGGCTGCTTCTGAATGGGTCAGTATCCTCGGGGCACTCTTAAATTCCTGGCACAGCATCTGATAAATGTGCTTATGAAGAAGCTGCTGAGTGAGGCAAGCATCTATGGAGAGTCTCCAGCTGTTTCTCCCAAAGAAGATAAAAGAGGACATTGGTCATTAAGTTACACCCCTAGTACAATAAATCAGCTTGTTCTAAATCCAGAATCTGAATTTTTTTTTTTTTGTTTCTCAGGCTCGTAAAAACAAACTGCTTACCTGATTTGATTCTTTTCCTTACAAATAAATAAATATAAATAAATAAATAAATAAATAAATAAAAATCCACCAAAAGAACCCAAGGCAATATCATAATATCACAGCAAGAGTTACCCAAAGGGATCCCCAAGCATGGTTATTTGCAAATAGAATTAATGTTCAAGTAAACACCTGCTTGTTCCGAATACAAATGAGACCATGACAGGCAAGCTTCCATCTTTCACCCTTTCTAAGAGGAAGGGTCATTTGCTGGCTACACAGGCATTCAGTCTGTTGATCTGGGTAAGAAACAGAGAAACAAAAGGAACCTCCGACAGCAGTCTGCAGGGTTTGGCAAAGGTTTTGATTCCCTTTGAAGAAACGGGGAGAGGAGGAAGAGGCTGAAATGAGCTGACTGGGGGACCAAAGACTTCCTGAGGGTTTTGAGAGTGACATTAGGATTTAGCACAGCTGTCATTCTAAGTGACACTAGATACTGAGAGATAGGAAATGAGAATTTTTAGACATTCTGCTCTGTGTAATACATGGAATTCTCTTGTACTATAATCCTAAGAACTTTTCTTTGCAACTGTCAAAAATCTACACTAAAATGACTTTAAGGAGAGGAATGCATTTGGTATAAGAACTGGGAACTCTATGGATGACACAGCTCTCAGGGTTTGACACTGTCATTAAGACAGTGTCTCCTTTCCTCTGCTCTTAAGTGGTTATTTCTTCCTACACCCCCATTTCCTACTGTTCTAGTTTCACTTCTGTAGCTGAGATACAGAAATGGGGGAGAGAGTTGTTTTAGCTCCCGAGCCCAGGTTAGAGTCGATCATGATCAAAGCAAGAGCCTAGGGCAACGAGTCACATCTAATTCACAGTCAAGCTAGCTTTCTCCATTCTTAGACGGTCCAGGGCCAAACCCAAGGAACGGTGTCACCCATTTGAAGGTTGGATCTTCCTATGCCAATTGAGTTAATCAAGACAAACTCCACAGTCCAACTTGGGCTAGACACTCCCCCATTAAGACTCTTCTTTCAGGTAATCCTAGGTTATGTCAAGTTCACAATTAAAACTGACCACTGAGGGGCAGGGGAGATGGCTCGTCTATTAAAGGCTAGGGTCACAACCTGACAGACAAAATGTAACCATCACACTCAGTGTTCAACTGCATCATCCTTCAGCTGATTCTTCCAGGACAAACAATGCATTCATTTTCCAATAACATCTGGAGGTTGTCTGTCACTGACAAATTCTGAATTTGTCTTTAGACACAAATTGCTGGAGAAGGACCGTTCCACAAAAAGAAAACCAAGCATCTATTACCAGAAGGAACAATACAGTTATGGACAAGAGAACAACAACAACAAAACGTTCTCTATCAGTTCCTGTCAAAGAAATAAGATTCATATCTCATTAATGAATTAATTAATTAATTGGTTTGTTTGTCTATTTATAGACAGTCATATGTTGCTCAGACTGGTGTGGAAAGAAGCTAAGAATAGCCTTAAATTCTTGATCCTATGCCTCTGCTTCCCTAGTGCTAGGATTGTAGGTATACACCTCCACATCCTATTTATGTGGTACTTAAGATAAAATTCAGAGGCTCAGGCACACACAGCAGCAGATTACCAACTGTATCCACAGCCCGCTTCTATTAATTTGTTTTTGGATACCAATCTAGTGTTTCCATTTTCCATGAAAATGACATCATATGAACATGCTGAGATGTTCTTTTCAATGCGTTTTCACCTTGCTTTTTGAGGTCTCTCATTGAACTTGAAGCTTACCGGTTCACCTAGATTGGCTGATCAGCAAGCCCTTGAGATTCCCCTGTCTCAGTCTCTTCAGCTCTGGAATTATAAGCACGCATTGCCACCATGCCCAGCTTTTTATATTTGTGTCAAGGATCTGAAATCAGATCCTAATGCTTGTGTGACAAGAATGTTACTGACTGTACTAGCTGGTTTTGTGTGTCAACTTGACACAAACTGGAGTTATCACAGAGAAAGGAGCCTCCCTTGAGGAAATGCCTCCATGAGATCCAGCTGTAAGGCATTTCTCAATTAGTGAGCAAGGTGGGAGGGCCCATTGTGGGTGGTGCCATCGCTGGGCTGGTAAGTCTTGGGTTATATGAGAAAGCAAGCTGAGCAAGCCAGGAGAAGCAAGCCAGTAAGTAGCATCCCTCCATGGCCTCTGCATCAGCTCCTGCTTTCTGACCTGCTTGAGTTCCAGTCCTGACTTCCTTTGGTGATGAACAGCAATGTGGAAGTGTATGCTGAATAAACCCTTTCCTCCCCAACTTGCTTCTTGGTCATGATGTTTGTGCAGGAATAGAAACCCTGACTAAGGCACTGACTGAGCCAACTCCCTCACCCCTGAGACAGCTTTTTTAAGAAGAAAAAAATAAAGACTTAAAGCCAGAAAACATGTTTAAACTGTATTTTGGCTCATTTTCAGTTCTCAAGAATGATGCCTCTTTCTGAGTTTGATATCCAGTTCATACCTAGGTTACCCAATCCCCTGTTTACTATTATAGCAATATTGATTTCTTTATCACTGTCACCTCCACATTCACAATTATACCAGATATGGAAAGCTGAGGCAGGAAGACCTCAAGTTCCAAACCACTCCTGGATACACAGTAAGTTCCTGTCTCAA